GTGAAATGCAGGTTGATCATAAATTTGATTCTCCAAAAAAATAAATATTAACTAACCTAACCTAACCTAGAATTTTCTATTAAAAAAAAAAAAAAGACAACTGATGACTTCCACCCAAAAAAAAGAAAAAGAAAAAATGGTCCAACCGATAATAAAGCTTATTAATTATAGTTGACCCAGCCAGTCTTCTTGAATGGATGTCCATTCATTACCTGGTTATTATATTCAGCAAACATTCAATTAGAATCCGGGATAACCTTAATTAATTGCAATATATCAAGAAGTGCCCAAGGCCTCTGGTGGTGTCATTGTCTCCACAGCTCCAAAGACCGTTCCTGTTTTGCCTTGACCGAAAAAAAGATCTAAACTGGACCAACTCTTGTTGTTAAGAGAAGAGTAAGCCGAAACCACAAAAATCTTATAAGTAATTTTCTTATTTTGAATTTTTTTTTTACTCTATTTTACTTGTTACACTTAAAAAAAAAAAAAAAGATTCAATGTATTTGTTAAGTTTAATTTTTAATATAGCATTAAAGGATTTTTAAAAATTTTTTTATCTCTATTAATGATCAATTGTTTTTTCTAATATGTGCCTTTCACCACACCTTAATGGCACGTAATTTTCATCATAATTGTATATATATAAAAGGGTTTATTTAACATGTGTCTTAAAACTCACTAATTAATGTATTTTTAATTAATTTTACACAAAATTTCGTATCAAATTTATTTTTTTTATAAATTTTGAATATAAATATTATATCATATTTTTATATTTTATATTATATTTTATTTGAATATTGTTTGAAAATTGGTGTTAAATTAATTATAGATACTATAATTAATGAAGTTTTACTTGTACTCTAAAGGCATGGATTTATTTGTACTCTAACGGTACAAATTAAAAAATCCCATATAAAAGTCTAAAAGTTAACATTAATTCTAGTATTGTTATCAAATAAATGAATTTAATTGAAAGGTTAACAAATTAAGGGTAAATTTTTATTTTTTCAACATAAATTTATGATAAAAGTTTATATTTATTACCTTAAAAGCACGTATTAAAAGAACTCATAATTAATTCACAACTTCCTAACTATCCTCATTAATAAGGGTAAATATAAAATTTTAATCGCAATAAATATGTTCTTATAGATTTTTGTAATTTTATTAAGAATCATGTTAAGTAAAAATGTAACAAGTAAAATGAACTTGAAGTAGTTACTTTTCTACTTGTATGGTTGATTACTAGGGTAAAATCCAAACACAAGTACACTTCTAATTTCTTAAGTATTTAATTTTTTTACATATAACTTTAGATAATATTTTTTATAATATATAAATGACAATTGAAATTTTCTTTTATCTTATATTAATTCTTGTTGAATAGTTTCATTTAATTGAAAAAAAAATTTAATTATCATTTATATACCATTAAAAATATTTCGTAAAAATATGTGTAAAAAGGTCAAAGGCCTTACATTTTGAAACAGTGGAGTAATATATAGATCTTCCATCTTTTTTTTTTTTTCAGAAAATAGGCAACATACATTGATCTCCATCTTATAACCCTGAAGGAAAATAAAATAAACAAGCTTCTCTCTATCAGTGTTTAAACTCCGCATAATAAACAAAACAATATTATTGGAAAGAAAATTGCAAAAAGCAAAGAGGATAACAAAAACATCGACTGAACGGTAATACTTACCCTAGCTAGCCAGAAAAATAAAAGTGAGTAATTTCCTTTTTTCACTGTACAAGTGTATCTCTTCATATAACATTTTATGCAAGGCAAAGATTATTTCCAACACGGTGCATGTATATGTTTTGCACCGCATTTCCATTCTTTTATATCTCACTAATTAAGGTTCCATTTAATATGATTGTAATTTTGAGTTTTTAGTTTTGATTTTTATAAATTTTGCAACTATTGATGAAAACTAAAATTAAAAATTAAAAACTAAAAATTGCTTTAAAATGAGTTTTATTATTAACAACAAATAATAATAATTTATTTAATAATATTAAAATTAAAATTATTTTTATTTTTCTAATGATTTTAATAATATATATGTTGTTAAAAACAAATGAAAATAAATGAATTTTTTTTGTTTAAAATTACAAAATTCATTAAAATAAAAAACCTCAATGATACTAAGTGAAGTCTATGCTTTCAATAACTGCAGCTTACTGCAAAGATGTGCCAATAATAACATTATACATATTGCAGTACTGTATATGGACAACAAAAAGGTATGTATATATAACCTCTACATGTGTAACATAACTTACATATATAACATCATCAATAGTCTGAAAATTTTCCTTTGCTGCAGCTTATATGCAAGCTAAGATTCAACACCAGATGAGTTCTTACTCAAACCATCAACGGCATTGTTGATCTTAACTTCATAAAACTGATTATTATGCTGGATTGATATAGCTGTCTGGCCACTGAGCCATCTGTTAACTAAAAAAAGTGATCCCAAAATTTAATTTATATATCAGCCTAGCTAGTTAGTGGAGAAAGTGGTGCAAGACTGAGGAAGTTGAGGGGATCCAGATCCAAGAGGCACACCAGGAATTGATAGATTTGGAGCAGCGCTGTTATTTCCACCATTGTTGTTGCTAATATTCCCGTTGCCACTCCTTGGTGTTCCCATAATTGTGGAAATTGCTGCTGCTAAGGCTGCAGTGAAGTTTGGATCAGAAGCTATGGCTGCACTAACTGTTTCAACCATGGACGAATGATGTTGCCCTAATTGCATTGTCGGTAATGCATGAGGAAACTTTGGAGGTGGAACAAATGCAGATTGTCCTAGAAGATTCGTATAACCATGGAGAGGCACCGGAAATGTGGCTGGTGGAGGTGTGGGACGCAAGAAAGGGACGGAGTTTGGGCCCTGTGTTAGGTCTAGGGTTATGGTGGGAAATGGGGCTGAGGCGGATAGGGTTGCCATTGTTGATGCATATGGAAATGGAGAAAAGTACCCAGAGTTTGTTATGCAGCTGCTTTCATTGCTGGTTGTTGAACCTGACAGCAGCATGGCTGCAGCAGCCGACGTAGTGTTTGCCATTGCCATGGCTGCTGGAGGAAGAGGGTGATTATGCTTTCCTTCGTATGTTGTGATGAGAATGGTTTTATCGTCAGCACATCTTTGCACCTGTCAAATATCCATTATCAAATTTACATGCTTAGGAAGGAAAATAAACGAAAAAAAGTTAGGATTTACATGCATAACTCAAAAACAAATAGTACCTGTTTACGAACTGGGCATCCAACAGCCATGGTGCAACGGTAATAGGCGCGGGGACAAGGGTTACCCTTGGCCATCTTTTGACCATATTTCCTCCATTGACATCCGTCGCTAATCTGTTCGATAAAAAATTCCACTACTAATTTTCTCCTTGAAATATTAAGTTCTTCTATCCTTTCAACATACAAGTTTAGAATCAATTTGATTGCTTACCATTGGAGCTTCTGATCTGGCCCTAACGGACACCCTGGCCTTCCTTAAAGGTACCTCGGGAGCTTGTTCTTCCTCCTTTCCGAGATCTAACTTAGTAGGAGTACTCTTTGGGGAGCCCCCCCAACTCTGAGAAGTTTGATCAGTAGTTGCATCTTCTACAGGAATTTGTTTCCCTGGATCAATCTGAATCCTTTCAAAGTCATGTTCCTTTGACATAACTTCCATTGTATTTTCTGGAGATACTGACAATTCTTGCGTAGTCTTATTGTCAGATGCAGAAGGTTCATTGACATCCAATTCCAATGGGCCAGACGCCCGTGGTCCCATCAACTCGTGGGCTGTTCTTATAGGACTTGACTTCCCATTTGACACTCCATCTTTACGCTAGGAGAAAAGTCAAAGAAAAAAAAAAAAATCATTTCTTTGATTATGTGAAAACCGCACATCTCAAAAATAATTAAATTATTGTTTTTCCAAAAATTGAGATCATTTCGCTAATTAATTAAGTTAGGAACCCTAAATGAATACTTTTCTTATTCAAGTTCACTAATGACTTTCTGATGAAGTTTTACCAAAGTGGAGCCAATAAAATTACTGGCATAGGATATTGAAAATATAAGACAGGATCAAGGAAGCACATTTTTCAATTTAAGTGAAGCACGTTAATTACAACAAGTGTTCTTTTTTTTTTTTTCTTTTAATATAAATTATTACTTGGCTCATGATGATTCAAGGATATGTCAACTCTATATATAATAAAAATTAATAAAATTAAAATCCTATAACCTAACTTTAAACTTAAAAATTATAACAAAAATTTGAATCTTTAATCTTTATCCAGAGTTAAATTACCTGTTCTTGATGCTGGCCTTGTACCTGTCTATGCATTGCGACGAGTAGTTGACCTTGCAGATCGCTGTAGTTTTTGGTCATATGTTCCAACATGCTTTTCAGCTTCCGATTCTCTTCGTGTAAACTCGCTAATTTCACTTGAAGAGTACTCAGCTAAAAGGAATACCGAATTCTGTTAAGTGTGGAACTGGAAAATCTGATAATATGTGAAAACAAACACGGTAAAACATTTCTCATGTAGAGAAATCACAGGAAAATCAGTCCTGTTTGGCAACTTACATCCTCTTTGGGCTTATTTTCATTTTCAGAACTTGAATTCATAAGATTCAATCCATTCTGTTCAAATCAAAATTCGGAAAAAAATAAAAATAAAAACATCATCAGTGAATTTAAACTTTAAACCTTTTTATTTCTTTTATTTAATTCTAAAAAAAAGAAAAAAAAAAAAAAAGGGAGAAAAATTTGAGATGAGAATCTAAGACTTCACCTTTAAACTCGAAGCGAACAAACTTGGCAATCGAGGCGATCGATTCTTGCTCTCTTGATCATATGATTGCTTATCATCGGAAAAAAGATTCAGTTCCTTGACTGGCGGGTTACTGTCATCGGTAAGATTACGGAGCGCGGAGGAGTTCTGGTGGCGGAGATAGTCGCCGGAGTGCAAGAACGTCAATTCGCGGCGTAGCTCTTTCTCCATGACTGACTTAGGAGAGAAGAGCGGACGAGTGGTTGCGTAGCTTTTTCAATTTTCCAACTAGGTGGAGTACTTCCAAATTTCTATAAATAGCCAAAAAAGAAAAAAGAAAAAGAAAATTAAATTGCATTTTTTTTTTCTTTTTTGGATTAAGTTTTAGTCCTTTGGATGGTCTAAGAAAAGAAATAGGTTAAATCCCCAATTCAGTCTCTTAATTTTTATTTTTGAACTAAATTTACCCTTAAACTTCAAAAAGTACTAAAAAAATTCCTAAATTTTAATTTTTGGGACCAATTTTGTCCTTCTATCAGTTAAGTGCTGATGTGGTGAAATTCTCCATTAAAAAATTCAATTTCTATTAATATTGAATATTACCTGAAAAAAAAAAGTGATATGACATCTTTTAATTATAAAAATATTATGACATATCAACATGAATATAATTTAATAAATAAAAATTTCTTTTCTTTCTTTGTTTTTTTTCCTTCTCTTTCCTTTTCTCCTCCCCCCCCTTACGAACCCAGCACCAACACCTAGGTTCCTTTGAACCCAAGCCCTAGGTTCAACCCAGCACGCCTGGGTTCGAACCCAGGGCATAGGTTCGAGTCGAACCCGCCTGGGTTTTTTCTTCTGTTTCTTTGTTGGTTGCAGTCATGCTTAGTTATCTTGGTATGAGATTTAGAGTTTTGTGTGGCTTCTACTTGCTTGAATTTTAAGATCTAGCTATTGTTGGTGTTGATTGAAGGGATATTGTGTTTTTTACATTTTCCTTTTCTTTAAAAGATTTGGTATAAGTTTGCAATATGATTGATTTATTGAATCTTTATAGATTTGATACAAGTTTACAGTGAATTGATTTTTTGAATCAGATTTATTGGCCATTATTATTGTGTGAGGAACCAGATTCGGGTTCCATTAGAGAAGAGGTTTGGGGAAGAAGGGGTTGGTGATTGGAGTGGTAAGGGATGACCAGGCCAATGAGGGATGGTGGGTGCTGATTGGGTTGCAAGATGAAGAGACATTTGAGGATAAAGAGAGACGAGAAGGGAGAAAAAGAGGGGTTGGAAGATGAAGATGGGGGTATTTAAGGAATTAAAAATTTTTTAATATATAAATTAATTAAAATGATGTGGATAATAAAAATACTACAATGAGTAGAGTTATTTTCCACGTAATTAAATATTTCAAACAAGAATTAATTTCGTGGCAACTTAACGTGTCATTTAGCACTTCCGTCGACGGAAGAACAAAATTGGTGTCGAAAATTGAACTTTAAGGATTTTTTAGTACTTTTTGAAGTTTAAGGGTAAATTTAGTTCAAAAATGAAAGTTGAGGGACTGAACCGGGCATTTAACCAAAGAAATAAAAAGATTAAGCGAGTGAACGAAGACCAGCCGTTTTTTACGCCGGAGTGTGACGTCAGGATTTATGTACGTGTCTGCGAGTGAACGGCAGGCAACGAGAAACATTTATTTATTTATTCATTTATTTTTACATTAAATATATGAAAAATGTAAAATTTTTTCAATAAGATAGAATTTGAATATCGATTAATTAAATTTAAATATTAAAATTTAAAAACCGACCATTGAACCGAAAACCAATCCGGAACGAGAGGCAAGTTGAAATAACAGGTTAACGGTAACGGAGAGTGGGGGATCCACGTGGCGGGGGGTCGTCTTGAGGTCAACGCAGTTGACGGCACGGCAATATCGACGGTGGACATGATAAAGAGTGGGACCCGCAACCTAATCCCACTGACTTATGAGTTATGAATACACCTCAAACGTCAGTTTCCTAAGTCTGTCTACGTCTGGAAAGCTAACTCTGAACCCCTGTTTGGTTTGCAATTTTTTTGGAAAAAGGAATTAAGGAAACCGCACAATATGGTTTGGTTTGACTTAAAAATTTAACATATAATTAATTATAAAATAAAAATTTATTTACTTATAAATTTTATATATTATATTTACATAAATAATAATTTGATAATTATTTATATTAGACATATAGTTGATTACAAAGAATAAAAAGTGATTATAGATATAATCATTTATGTCCCTTTTATAACCAATAATTTTTTCTCCTCACATTTTAGGCAAAAAGTTCTAAAAAAAAATGTTTTCAGGAAAAGTTGTATATCATTGACTATGAAATTATTATAATTAATTATATTATATCTCAATTTTTTGTATCAAAAAATTAATTTATTGAGCTAAGCCAAACAATTTTGTTGTTTAGCTTCTCCAAATTCATTTTTCAGAGAAGTTGCAAACTAAACAAGCCTTAAAGATAACTTAAATAGTTTAAGTCTAAGAAAAGAGAACAAAAATAAAGTAATTTTAAAATATTTAAAAATTAATTTAAAGACATTCTGATTAAAATGTGTATATAAAAGAAAGAAGCTAACTCGAAAGATCTAGTTGGCTTGGCTTAACTCGGCTTGGCCAACCACATTTTTGTTTTATTTTATTTTTTGAAAGTAGGAGAGCTCATGGACTTACATAAGTTTGAGGGAGTTCAACTCTGTGACGCTGAGCTGAGGCGAGTAAGCGTAGAAATTCTTAGGGTGTGAGTGAGTCTACTCAGCCTTGCATCATTAGAAGTAGGCAAGAATACGCTATTAAATAGTGTCCTTGTTGATTTTTTTTCGTGTATATGATTTTAATTCTTGAGAAATTTTGGATATGGAACAAATAATGATGCTGAGCTTTGGGGCATCAAAATCGGCTTGGAATTAGCTGCGAAATTAAAGATTAAACTGCTTGAAGTGGAAACTGATTCTACTTTTGTAGTCAATGCTCTAGCAAATTGCTCTATGAAATGCTTAAATCATATGACTTTGATTGCATCTTGCAGATTGTTGACCCAACAGTTTGAACAGGTGCTGATCAAGCACACATATCATGAAGCAAATGGTGTGGCTGATACACTTGCCAAGCATGGAGCTCTCATGGAAGCCCCTTTTGTCACTTTTGATTCTATTCCATCTTTTTGTTTCTCTAATTACTCTCATGATAGAAATGGTTGTATTGTGTATCGGACTACTTTTTATAAAACTTAATTTGCTTCAATGAAATTTCCATTTCCACCAAAAAAAAAAAAAATTCTTGAGAAATTTGTTCATATAACTAACTGATTATTTATTTTTTTATTTGAATATGGTTTAGTCTCACAATTTAATATTTTATATTGTCAACTTACACATGACTACCTCTAATTAAATAATTTGAATAAAATTTACCAAAAAAATTTATAGAAAGAAAGAGGCAGGGTAGGTTTAAGCCAGTGGCATGAAACGTCCCATTTTAAAGGTCACTTTGGGAGGTCCCTCGGGCTCTGGGTGTAGTACGACAGGATATTTTAGTCAGGGTAATGGGTATAGTCACTCCTACAAAACAGCCTTCTTCCACGGCCACGATTGTGAGTGGTAACTATTTTTTTTTTTTTTTCTTAAAAGCATAATTGTATATATATTATAATAGAGAAAAAAAATTAGGATGTTTTTATATTAAAAATATTAAAATGTTCAATCAAAATTATTAAATATATAAAATATAATATAAATTTTAATTTTATTAAATTTATCATATTATTATTATTACATATCTTGACATTTTAATATTTAGACGTCTTGATTTTACTTTTTCTCCTTATAATAATCACTTTGGGTTATGGAGAACCTACATTTTGATTAATCACAACGTGAAGCTACATAGGAAATTACGACTAAAAGGGACTAAAGCTACAAACTAAACAAAATGACGACCTTTGACTGGAAAAAACAGAAAAATAATTGACGAACAAAATTGAAAACCTTACTAAAACTAAGGGACTAAAGCCAAAGTCGTTCCACAGGACTAAAGCCAGATGCAAAGTTTGTGAAGTTTCCCTCATATTGGAAAACAGAGCAATAAAATGTTTGAAAGCAGTAGAGATTAGTCAATTTCCTTCCATTTCCATT